AATAAATAAATAATATATTGTTGATTTATTCAGGGACAATAATCGATTGTTATTATGTATGGGAAAAAAGGGTCAGGCTTAAGGTTGTCCACAGGTGAAATGATGTCTTGGGTTTGCTTCAAAATAATCTGGGTGGAGATAGGGAATACATAGATGACACAGATGGGTCACATACTAAAAGTTGTTTAACCTGGTTGATGGGAATTTAATGGATTCTTTCTACTAGCGTATAGTTCTGAAAATTCACATGAAAACAAATAGGCCAGAGATCACCGGGTAAATATGGCAAAATTAAAGCAGATTGATTGCCCTCCTCCAGCCCCGCCCCCACGGCCCCATGAAGAGAATGAGTACAGGTTGCTCGGGGGACCCCAGGGAGCCTCAGCACCCAGGATTCTTTACTTTTTTTTTTTTTCAAAGATTTATTTTTTGTTGGAAAGGCAGATATACAGAAAGGAGAGACAGAGAGGAAGATCTTCCGTCCAATGATTCACTCCCCACGTGAGCACAACGGTCGATGCTATGCCGATCCAAAGCCAGGAGCCTCTTCCGGGTCTCCCAAGGCCTTGGGCCGTCCTCGACTGTTTTCCTGGGCCACAGGCAGGGAGCTGGATGGGAAGTGGTGCTGCCGGGATGAGAACCGGCGCCCATATGGGATCCCGGGCATGCAAGGTGAGGACATTAACCACTGCGCCATCGCGCCGGGCCCGAGCACCCAGGATTCTTACACTCCCACACCGAACCAGGCTTGGTCCAGGGGAAGAAACAGTGGGTCATGTCCTCAGAGTCTGTATTCCTGGCGATAACCAACTTGGGAAATTTGTCTTCTGGAATCAGGTCTACATCTTGACCTCTGTACTGAATGTGTGTAGAGTGTTTTCCTCTTCCTTCTTCTGTAAACCAGGGGTGGGAAATACTGCTGGCATTAGGAGGTGGGCCTTTGCTGAGTGATTGGGTCATGACGATGCAGCCCTCATCTATGACGATCAGTGTCCTCCGTGAAGGAGTGATAGCACAGTGGGCTAATCAGCCCTCAATGCTACTCTCCCCGAGTGCCGGTTCAAGCCCCGGCTGCTGCACTAACATGCCCCGGGGACAGCACCACAAGGAGACTAAATGAAACTTCTGATTCCTGGCTTCAGCCTGGCCCAGCCACCCATGAGGAAGAGACCCAGATGGTGCTCTAGGCTCCTGGCTTTGACCTGACCCAGCTCTGGCCATCGTGGTCATTTAGCGAAGAGCGGTGAATGAGGGCTGTTGCTGTTAGTTTGCTTTTCATCAGCTCCACACTGACATGGCCATCCAGGCCAGTGGGTGGCTCCTAGGTTAAAACAGTGCATGTGGCACATCATGTGGCACTCCTGAGTGACTTATGTCCTTTATCTGGGAGCTGGTCTTTGCACTGGGATTCCTGGGCCAGAGCACCTGCTGCCAGGCTGGTGCGGCTGATTGAAGGAAGAGGCCCAGTGTCTTCTAGGAACTGGGGAAGAAGTGGGAAGTGGGTCAGCCTGACTGTGACATCCTCACCTCTGCCACTGCAGGTGTCCCTGCCACCTCAGACTGGAGGCAGTGAGACGGGGAGCATGAAGGTATCAGGAGCTGCTGGGTGGCTGCTCCTAAGATGGTGCCCTGGATGTGGCCTCTGGAGGCCCTGCTCGGCTCCTGGAATACATCCTCGCACTGAAGAGACAACTCCCTTGGCATGGCTCTCAAAATTTTTTAAAGGTTTTTTTTTTTTTCTTTTGAAAAGGCAGATTTACAGAGAAAAGGAGATACAGAGAGAAATATCTTCCCATCTACTGGTTCATTCCCCAAGTGGCCATGTGGGTGCATAATCTCAAGGGTTGGGCCAATCTGTAGTACTGTTTTCCCAGGTCACAAGCAGGAAGCTGGAAGGGAAGTGGAGCAGCCAGGACACAAACCAGCGCTGATATGTAATCCCAGTGGTTGTAAGGCAAGGATTTAGATCCTAGGCTATTGCACCGGGTCCATGGCTCTCATTTTTGATGGTCAGAATCTCCCATGCGTGCATAAGCATTTCTGTTAGAGCCTATGGCTTCCATTTTCTCAGCGATTTTAGTTTTAGATCTGCCCTCATTACTCTCCTTGTTTTAATTCAGCAATGCATTTCACTCTATTTTTTTTTTAAGGTATGTTTGGTTTTTTGAAAGGCAGTGTGCAGGAGGATAGAGATTTTCCATCTACTGGTTCTTGCCACAAATGGCTGCAACAGCCAGGGCTAGGTCAGGTTGAAGCCAAAAGTCTGATAGGAATTCAATCTGGGTCTCCCACGGAGATGTCAGGGACCCATTCCTATCATCTCACGTGGCAGGAAGGGAGTGTTAAAATCCTGTAGCGCAGTTGCTTAGGTTCAAGTATCATCTGCACTCCCCATTCCAGCTTCCTGCTAATGTGCTTCCCGGGAGGCAGCAACGACTGTTCAAGGAGTTGGGTTTCTGTCACCCACTTGAAAATTATGGGTTGACCTGGCTCCAAATTTGGGCTTGGCCCAGTTCCTGCTGTTGCTGAAATTTGGGGTGTGAACCAGTGAATGGGAGATCTGGCTCTCTTGCTTTTCAAGATGCTTGAATGAATGAAGATGCCGAATAAATGAAGATGCTTCTACGCCTTTTCTGCCACCTGCTACCCCAACAGCTTCCGGAATCCCAGGCAATAGAAGCAACCGCGGAATGCCACAGCAGAGAGGCGCTTGGCTTTGCATGGCCCCTGGCTCCCCATGGCCTGTCGCGAGCACAAGGCCTGCCAGCGAGAACTGGAAGTTGGCTCCTGAAAGGGTTTGTTGCTGTGTGACATTGCTCACACTTCTCTTGGCGTGGCTGGAGTGTCTTTGTGGCATCTCCTTAGGCTGTTGGTTAGCCCTGTGCTCCAGGTTGCACATATTCAGAGCTTCTAGAATGTTGCCACCGGGAAGTTGCTAGATGGAACATTCAAACCAAATGTGGAGTTCGAGTATAACCATCTCAGTGACACAGCCAAAAGTTTGAACACCAAATTGTTTTCTAGCTAACTGGCTGCACATTTCTTAGTGTCTGGAAAGTATTTTTAAATCACTGTTCCAGGCATTGGACTGTGAAAGTAACTACTAGGCCGTTTACATTGATAAATGACAAGTGTCATTTCTATCATAAAGTACAGCTCAGAATCTTTTCTTCCTTTTCTTAATCCTTTGCAGACTGACAGTTTCCCTCACTGCTACATGCATAACCAGATTTTGCAGCTGATTCTCACTCAGGTTTTCAAAGTCGATAGTTTTGACCATGGCAAAAATAAAGTCCACATATTTTAGTTTAATCCTGGGTTACAGGTAAAATCCTTAAATATTCAATGTAAGTAAACCCAGCTTGTCAGAAAAACATTTGTCCTGTATCTGGGAAGCTCACAAATCTACGTTTCATTTCTGTTGTAGCTATATTTACAGGGCATTATGCAGTAACCTGATCTGCCAGGAGAGAACTTTTGAAATTAATTCCAGATGTCTAATAAATCAAGATAATAACTATTAATAGCAATGCTCTTGAAAACAGATTTGAAGATACTCAGATTTATTCTTTAATTACTTTATTCTTTGTAATGGATCCTAAACTGCCATCATGCTTCTTTGCACAGCATCAGCCATCCCACTGGCTCCGGAAGTAGAAATGGAATTCTGGTCCTCCTCGGAGGAACACATACAAAACAACTCAAATGTAAACCAGAATGATTTATGTTCCTAACAGTTTCTGAATTTTCTCTATCTCCCTCTACTGGAATTAATGTTTACAAATTAACGTTTGAGTTGTTGTCTAGTCCTCAGCCCGAGGATGCTTTCAAATAATCCTCCTGGGCCTGGCGCAATAGCCTAGTGGCTAAAGTCTGCCCCTTGCATACACTGAGATCCCACATGGGCGCCTGATCTAATCCTGGCAGCTCCACTCCCATCCAGCTCCCTGCTTGTGGCCTGGGAAAGCAGTCGAGGATGGCCCAAAGCCTCATGACCCTGCACCCTTATGGGAGAGCTGGAAGAGGCTCCTGGCTTTGAATTGGCTCAGCTCTGGCCGTTGCAGCCACCTGGGAAGTGAATCACTGGACAAAAGATCTTCCTCTCTGTCTCTCCTCCTCTCTGTATATCTGACTTTGTGAGCGCAATGGCCCATGCTATGCTTATCTGAAGCCAGGAGTCGGGAATTTCCTCCAGGTCTCCCATATGGGTGCAGGGTCCCAAGGCTTTGGGCCATCCTCGACTGCTTTCCCAGGCCACAAACAGGGAGCTGGATGGGAAGTGGAGTTGCCGGGATTAGAACTGGCACCCATATGGGATCCTGGCGCATTCAAGGTGAGGACTTTAGCTGCTAGGTCACAGCACCGGGCCGTTCTGTGGTTTCTATAAAAAGTTTGATAATTTTTCTATGTAACTCTTCCAAAGAATTAAAAAAAAAAAAGTGTGTGTGTGTGTGTGTGTTGTGTGCATGTGTGGTGGGGGTTGAGGGTGGGGCTGGTGTTGTGGTGTAGCCTATGGGCATCTCCTATGGATGTTGCTTCAGTTCGAGTCCTTCCAGGTCCACTTCCAATCCAGCTGCCCGCTGATGTGCCTGGAAAAAGCAGTGGAGGATGGCCCAAGTCTTCGGGCCCCTACACTCATGTGGGAGACCCAAGAGGAGCTCCTGGCTTAGGCCTGGTCCAGCCTGCTGTGGCCATTTGGGAAGTGAACCAGTGGAAAGAAGATCTATGTCTCTCCTCTCTCTCTGTAACTCTGCTTTTGCAATAAATAAATAAATCCTTGAAAGAAAAGTTAGGTAAAAACTTTGTTTCTCCAGATTGTCACTCCTTTCACAAAGGGCTTCATTGTGACATTTGTTATCATGGCTTTGATTTTAATGCTGCAAGTCTTCTCTTATAAGCCATTTCATATTTGCTTTATTTTAATGAAAATGTTAATGTGCTTTAAAAACTGAAGTGCACAGTGTATTTTCATTTCAAAAACACCCGTAAGCCAACAGATATTTAAAATCTTTATTATTTCATCAAAATTTTTCTTTCCATAGAAGAATGGCAATGTTGCGTCAGTGCATATTCTATGGAAAATTCATACCTCAAGTAACTAGCCTGGAAATGAGACACGGCACTGGAAAGCGAGTGTGCCTAGTCAAAGACGGAATGCTGCCAAGGCCGTGAGGACACAGGGAGAAGATGCAGCTGGCAGGAGAGGAGGCTACGGCGGAGAGAATCAAACAGCAGCAGCGCACTGCACTGATGTTCTAGAACGGAGCCTGGAGATGTACCAAGACTGCACTTCCTGCAGAGACATCCAGCAGCTCAGAGGCACGAGTTGCCCAACGGGACCCCGCGGTCTAACTCAGCTGCACCTGTGCTTTCATCGCAAAGCCAGAACACTGCAGCACCACAAGCCATGTTCGGACTCACAGGGAAATGGTATGCTCACTGCTTCCTGTCTCTTAGCCCAAACTCACAACGTGGGTCAGGCAAAAATAATGGTGGCTTTAGGCATCTTTAGTAAAAAGCTGAATGAATCCAAAATTTGTTCCCACTTTCTTAAGAAATAAACTTTACAAAACAAAATACAGTTATTAGAATTACTCAATTTTGGCTGAAGGCAAAATGATTTTTATGTGGATATACTGAATAAACACACACAAACAAGTGTCCCTAACAAAATACTGTGAGACTAACCTGAATGTTTCCAAAGCCAGCTCCTGAAAAAGCACTGATTACTGTGACAGGCAGATGAGCACGACACTTGGAACATGCCTGGTTACTGGGAACTTTTTGGTCAGGTTTGTTTCTGAAGCTGCTACACAGCTGGATTTGGCTACTCTGCATTAATTCATGACAAATGCCTTTTCTAAGGAAACGGATCTACCATGATGAAATCAATAAAAATAACTGAGAAGTACACAGGAAACCTGTCTTAAATATTTTAAAGTTACAAATGGTATAACCTTACAGAATAAGAACTATCCTTACCATGGTCTACATCTTAAATCGTTAATGCATGACTTAATTATCTGCAAGACTAACAAGTCACTTGTTAATCATGTAAAGGCCTTGCTGGGGAGGAGCACTCAGAAAGTATGGCATAGCAATTATTTTCCTGGTGAGTTAAACATTTCTGTCATTAAACTATACTTGAGATTATTTTACTTAATATATACAACATACAAAATAAGTTAAGAAGCAGGGGAAGGTTTTCTGGTGTCTGCGATGCAAACATACAACTTTTCTTTATCAACAGGCATTCCTTCTGTGTCCATTTTGTCCACAGCAAAACACAGAAGGCTGGAGTAGAAATAAAAAATTTCACTCATAAATAGAAATCGCATTCCAACATAATTTCTTCCCACACTGCAACACACTCCATTTTAACTACCATAAACATAAATAAAAATTCTATCTTAACTATCTGCTTTTATATCCTTACCTTGAAATTTAACATTAATTCCTCTAACAACTGAAAAGAAAACCAATCCTCTGTGGCAATTCTCTTTCAGTTCACAAAACACCTGTCTACTAGTAAAACCGGCAACCCTTATGGAGGGCTGGGGCATTACCACTTGGCCCCTCTGAGGTATAAATGCAGCTAGATTTGCACTGAGTATATAAAGTATGCCAACAGCCTGCATAAATTGGGGAGTGATATCATTATAATTAAAAGCTTATAATTGTTTGTAATGGAATTTAACTAATTTTAAGAGAAAAGATGTATTTTAGCCCCGTAAAACAGCATAATGCTGAATTCCTAACCAATACAAATGGTTACTACATTTTTTAAAATGTTTAACATTGCATACTATTAAAAAAAATGAACAGGAAGAAATACATAAATATTTGAATTCAGCAGGACACCACAAAAAGCATACCAGAGATAAATGTACAATCAGTCAAGCTTTTCCAAAAGAGAAAATTCTTTTAATCCTTCAGCAAGTCTCTGAAAATAGTATGCTTACAAGAAGAATGAGAAGGGAGCACCTAGAATACCCCCAGGAGGCTTGCTATACCATTCAGCATTACTGCCCCGTCTCCTGTGTGCATGGATGGCCAACAAATGACAAGAAGTCCATGTGACAAAAGTTCAGTCATTTCTCTTCACCACTGCTGCCAGCTGAAGTCGTCGTTGCTTCCGAAGACCAAGAAAAAGCCTAGTATCGTTGCAAAGATGACTGTGTTTCCTGTGAGAACAAGTGCGCAGGCTCCCCATTCAATCTATGGAAAGGAGATAGAAACACTGTGCTAGCAGAGGTATGAAAACCAAGCAGAAAGTGAAAGGCAAACTAAGCTTCTAGTGACATGTTAATCATGACCAGAACAGAGCACCTGTCCACACTGCACCCTGAACCCAGCTTTAAACTAGCTACATGGTGCTCCCTTCAACAGGACATGCAGGAGAAACAACTATTCAAAACAAGCATGACTTCTGAGCTGTGAGGAAGCAACAGGGAATTCTAACACTTTTTAAGGACATTCCCTGCAGCGCTATCTTGGAGTGGGCTTGAAGCCACGTGGGTCAGATGCCCGGGTGCTGTACCAGAGTACCTGCGTTGGTTCCTGCCTCCAGCATCTTGCCAATGCCAACCCTGGGAGGGAGGCAACAAGGACGCCTCAAGTAATTGGGCTCCTGTCAACTGGGGGAGGAGCTACCTGGCCCTGGCTCAGCCTTGCCACTGTGGGCATCTGGGGAATAGACCAGTGGACAGGAGCTCTGCCTCTCAAAGAAAACACTGCTTTTTAAAAACCTCTCTAAGGAGCAGACTGAAGTATCAGAGATGAACACATCCTGGTACACTCTTTTCCAAGGGCACAAGCAGTCCTCATTCCCCATGTGCAGGGCTAGGCTGCTTAGCCCCTGGGCTCTTTGCCTTCTTCTCGACTGACGTGACACTGGGCTCACGATCTGTGGCGGGGAGAGCCAAACCCAAGATGCCCAGACTTCTCATTTTGGTGGCACGTGCCTACCTGCAGGGAACACACTCTGCGCAAGTCTCGCCTGTCTTGAATTTTACGGGGCAGCCTGTGAAATGCAGTTGCTAGTACCAAGAGAGCTGACAGCTGACCCACAGGGAAGGAATGGCCATGCACTCTAACTGTACTTCTACTAGTTAACAAGGACAAACAGCCAAGGTTTCCATTTTTATCTTTTAGGGTCCTGTTCTCACATCTCCCTCTCCTTAAATTTTTAATTTTTACTTGAAAGGCAGAGTTACAGAGAGGAGAGACAGAGATCTTCCTCTGCTGGTTCACTCTTCAAATGGCCACATCAGCCAGAGCTAAGTCAATTCTAAGCCAGAAGCTTCCTCTGGGTCTCCTACATGGGTGCAGGGTCCCAAGGACTTGAGCCACCCCTTGCTGCTTTCTCAGGTCATAAGCAGGGAACTGGATTGGAAGTGGAGCAGCTGGCACTCAAACCAGCACTCATATGGGAGGCTGGTGATGCAGGCAGAAGGTTAGTGCGTAATAGCACCTTGTCACTCTCAACAAACTTTCTAAAGAACAAGTTGACACAGCTTGAAACAGAATCATGAATAGAAGGATATATTCACTTACTAGATGTGCTCTGGCAAATACAATAGGAAGTCCAAAAGCTGAGACAACAATGCCTGTTGTAAGAAATATGGCAAGTTCCTTGCAAGCGTTACTCATGGCATCTGTGTCATCCACTAGGCGTCTTGCTATGCAGTATGGAATAGGTGAAAGAACGTAGAAAAACAGAACAAACAGCGGCCAGTATTTGCTAGACAAAAAAAAAAAAAACAAAGTCACTGTAGTTTCCACTACTTATGGAATTTTCCTCCTTATAAAATATGCTTTTCTTTTATGAAACTTGTACTGCAAGCTACTAAACGTGCAGCAGTTGAAAACAAGAACCAACTCTGCACTGAAGTGAGAAAGCTTCTGAGTCACAGTATCGCTAAAATCAATTATAACAGAATTCAGTGTTTTTTTTTTCTCATATTAAAAGAAAATGTTCTTTAAGAGCTGGAATCAAAGTTCTAAATTCAAAATATTTTTCATTTTGAGTTCTAAGTAGACTTTTGGAAGGTGGATATATGAACACAATAACTTTTGAAAATCAAGATTCATGACTTTGACCTCTAATGAATGATATCTTTCCAAAATCATTTCCTAGTTCTGATAACTATAGCCGCGTAAGATTCCATGACCGGGAGGACCCGTGTAAAGGGTACAAGTGACTTCGCTGGACTCTATTTGTTACTTCTTAAGAGTTTTTTCATTTAAGACATGATCTTTAAAACTGTCATAAAATAAAATACACATAGCAGCAGACTTACTAATACTCAGAAGCTTATAATAAGTAATGATCTATTTCCTGCCCCCTAAAAATCTTAACTTAAGAGAACAAAAATATTAAAAAAGGAATCTATGCCTAAAGAAAAAAAAATTCCAAACCATGAAAAAGCATAAAGACTGAAAGCTCAAGTTGCTCCGATGCGCCTTCGTGTTCTCACTGTCCTCCTGAACTCTGCTGCACCTGCCCTATCTCCACTGACACATGTGCCAGCTCATCTGAATGTGTCACTGTCATTTTTCACAAAGCCCAATGCAAACGGAGGATCTTACATATTAGCACTTACAACTTTTACTCATTCTTTCAGACTGCTAGGATTTTCATGGCTGCAGGTACCACAATATAACCAGGTTCCTTTTGAGAGACTTCAAACAAGCCTGCGCATACACCTATACCCTGTTCCTTCACATTATCTCTGCAAATATCTGCAAGTGGATTTTCATGAGAAAAGTTTAAATGCAGGATTAAGTCAAAGGACAAGTATTTTTGAGAACCATAGCAAACTCCTCTCCCCTCAAGCCCCACGATATACAGAGCTGCCTTGACCTTGCAGTTTCACTCTTGCCAGGTGGCTTTCATTTCATTTCAAGTAAGGCTGAGTGTATTTTTATGTGTTTATTGGCAATCTGTACTTTCTTTGCATATTTGTTGTTCATTCTTCTATTGTTTACCTCGTCCTCTAAATATTAAAAAGTTCTTTCTATCCTAAGGAGAGTCATCATTTGCGTCACGTGTTCTGTAGCCAACTGTATTTTGATTCTGCTTATGGTATTTCTTTGCAATAAGATTTTTAATTAAGTATCAAGAGGTGTTCAAAATCAAGCAGTAGTTCTGAGTTAACACATTACTGTTTTGTTACTACCAAATGGCAGGTAATAGCTAAAAATTTTTTTTTGCACCTCGGTGTCCAAAAATCTTCATAAACATACTAAGTAATGATTTCTAAAAAGGTTTGTGTTTCACACATGAACAACTCTCTGAATTACTATATCAACAGTGAAGTCAAAAATTTTAAAAGCTCTAAAAGCAGAAAACAATTTACCCATAAAGAAAATATTTTTACTTACTTGTATATTGGAAGGGCACATCCAAGCATCAAAAACATCAGCCCGATTGCTCCGCCAAAGGACAAACTGATCAAAGCTACAGGGAATAAAAGTCCAACGGAAGCACTGGTTACTCCTACTCAGTTAACATGATTTTTATTAAGATGAGTAATCCCAGGAGAAACCTCCCCAAAACCAAAAAAGTGCCAAATGCTTTAAAAGTAAGTTGTTTCAGGGCCAGCATCGTGGCACAGCACGGTAAGTCGCTGCCCACCATGCTAGCATACCATATTGGGGCCAGGTTGTGTCCTGGTTATTCCACTTCCAATCCAGCTCCCGCTAATGGGCTGGGAAAGAAGCAGCTTGGGGCCCTGACAAACATATGGGAGACCTGGAAGAAACTTCTGGCTTCTGGCTTCAGCCCGTCCCAGCTGTGGTCACTGAGATCATTTTGGAAGTGAACCAGTAGATGGAAGAACGCTCTCTCTGTATCTCCCTCTTTCTGCAGCTGTCTTTCCAATAAATAAATAAATCTACTTTTTTTTTTAGTTGTTCCTAAAAGTGTAATTATCAGCCTCAGAATAAAGTCTTTTGTTGCACCTTGAAGGCAAAATGCTAATTTGGACAGCCCTACTGGGAAACTCTGAAATTAAAATACTTCACTGTCTGAATCTCAGCTGAGTAGAGACGGCACATCAAGAGTAGAAAACTACACACTAGGAAACTGCTTCTGTACAGCTACTTGAAATATCGCATCAAACCGCCCCCAGGCTGTGTATATGAGATGTATATGAAGCAAATGAATTTCCTGTTTAACTTGGGTTTCATATCCAAGAACTATCATATTTATGCAAATATTATAAAATCCCAAAAACTTCCAAAACCCAAACATTTCTGGTTCAAAGTACTTCACATAAGGCTATCAGCCTGTGCTCATTTTCAGCCTAATACACAACAAGCAAAGCACCACATTCAATACTGCTTCCAGCTCCACTGTGTATCAGCTCACAGGATCACTGACCTTCTAGCTATCAGTGTTTTATTAATTCTACAGATCATTAACTTTGAAAAGCAGCATGCACTGCACTCACAAGTTTGCTGAACTTCACGAAGCTCATCCTATGAGAAAAATCTTCCAATCTAGCTTTGCTATTTGTGTGTGTGTGTGTGTGTGCGTGTGTTTGTGTGTGTTTAAAGAGATTGATTTATTGGGGTCAGGGCTGTGTTACCCCTGCAGCACCGGAATCCCGTATGGGTACAGGTTTGAGTCCCAGATGCTCCCTGCTAATGTGCCAAGGAAAGCAAGTGAAGAATGGCCCAGGTACTTGGCATCTTGTACTCCTGTGGGAAAGCCAGAGTGACAGAGTGACCTCAGAGGGAGAGACAGAGCTCCTACCTGTTGTTTCACTTTCCAGATGGTAACTTTCAATAGCGGGGACTGGAACAAACTAAAGCCAGGAACCGTATCCTGGTCTCTCACAGGTGTGGCAGGAGCCCAAGCACTTGGATCATCATCTGCTATCTTCAAGGTACATGAGCAGGGACTTGACCAGCACTCTGATATGCAAAGCTGGCGTGCATGCGGCAGCTTAACTTGCCGTACTACAACACTGGCTGACAGCTCCCGCTTGGTGCACGCACACTCTCAATGGACGTTAAGTATGATTTCGGTCCAGTGATTAAGAAGCCTATAATTGGTTTCTGCTAATTTAGATCCAGGAAGAGTCATGCAGGCTTATGTGATACAGTTCCTACACCTATTGGGAGACTTGGATTGTGTTTTTGGCATCTGACTTCAGCCTTGGTCAAGCCTCAGCTGTTGTGGATACTTGGGTAGTGATTCAGCAGACGGAAGCTCTCTGTCTCAATCTTCCACTCTGCCTCTCAAAATAAATTAAAAAAATTTTTTAAAGATAAGAAAAACGTCAAAGGAGATCTATAGTTACATTTTAATCTGTTCATTTTACTACAGATTCTGATCTACTTCACAAAGCTATAACTGGGTATCCTTCTCTAAAATCTGTAGAATACCTGAGCACAACCCTTGTGTGGTGTCACTATTTTAAGTTATTATTATAAGCACCAAATGCATTCTACAGATGAAACAAGATGAAATATAGTTTGTAAAGTTAGACATACATACACACACTCACTTACAAAGAGATTATATATCCCAAATATCTCTGATTGATTTTCCAATCACTGGTTCACTCCCCAAATTGCCCAAACAGCCACAGCTTGGATGGCCAAAAGCCAGGAATCAGGAGCTTCCCTGGGTCTCCCATGTGAGTTCAGGAGCCAAAACGGGCCATTATCTCCACTGGTTTCCCAGGCACATTAGCAGAGGCTGGACTGGAAGCGGAGCAGCCAGGACTCAAACCAGTGCCTCTTATAAGAAGCTGTGTGAGCAGAGATTTCCATGGAATGAAGGAGTAAATCCCACAGCTGGGGTGAGCATTTCAGGCATGAGTGTCTCCTCTTGCCTGTTATCACAGCCCCAGTCTCACACTGATACACACGTGTCTGTCATCCCACCAGAGTGGGGAGCAAGCTTTTCTGTTGTTCGGATGCTGATGAGCCAGTTCTTAACACTAGCAAACGTGTCCATAATGAATGCAGCAAAGTGGAAATCAACATTGAGAAAGGAGAGGCGCTGGATCCTAATGCCTGCAGCCACAAACTAGTTTTCTAAATAATTTATCCACCTTTGCATTCTTTTTTCTTTAAAATGAGAGCTGGATTGGATGCAAGCCAATTCTCCGAAGAGTAAAAATTCTGCTAAAAGGCATGCTAAAGAAGTAAAAATGCATCTCTTCTTTTCAAGATGTAGTTGCAAAGAGCTAAGTTCACTATGAATATGATGTGCATAGTTAACCCCTCAGTTACTCAGAAGCTATTGATCCAGAACACAATCCTGGAGGAAAGAAAATGTACTAAGAGGAGATAAGTCAGCATTACAAAGGCCACACACCAAAGCGAACAGAAACTCAAAAGCTTGAAAAACAGAAGTTACTCTTCAGAGGTTATGAACTCAACTTTATGACACAATTTCTGGGTGGAATTCAAACACTATATATATATATATATATTTATCTTAGAGAATCATCTTTAATCATTTATACATTTTTTTCCAAAGGCAACTCATATCCAGAAAAAAATGAAAAGTAACTTGCACTTCTCAAAAGGGATCAGTGGTACCTCTAACCTGTGAAGCAAAATTTTCTAAGTCTGATTATCGTGTTTCCCACATCAAAGCCAACGAGAAACAGGAAAAAGAACCGTATGTAAGAACTGTCCTCTCACAAGAGAGATGAGAGCGAGAAGAAAAGTATGTCTGTGATGTACTTGGCTAGAGGCAAGGAGCCTTAAGACTTGCAGTCTCTGAGGACAGCTGTGTTCTTCTCAACAAGCAAGTGCAGGGGCCAGAGTGGAGGCCCAGCAGTGGGAGATGGCCCACATGTTGCAGCCTTGCTCAAGTTCCTGGCTTCAGCCTGCCCTAGCACTGGCTATGGAAGCTAACTGCGCCATGAACCAGTGGATGGATGATTTGTCTTTGTGTTTCCCTCTGTAACTCTGAATTTTAAAATAAACAAATCTTTTAAAGTTTGCAAAAGAACTAAAACTAGGTAAGGGTCAGGTACCAAAACAGATTGTTTCAACATAAACCAAGATTGTTTCATTACCCACAGTGGATATTAATCCTGGAAAACAGCTGCTTAACTCTTCTAATATCCTACAGTCTAATTCCTCTTAAATATGATTGTACAATGGTAAAGTAAGGCCCTTGGAGTTGTTTCGAATCCACATACCTGGGCATAATCTATGCATTCCATACTCAATACTGAAAAACACTTCAAAAACAACTTTATGTAACATCTCATCTTTCAGCAATGCTGAGTAAAAAGAAAGCCACTGAGGACCAATGGACCATTCTCAGAGGAGCTCTCATAACTGCTGGTCTTTCTTGGGCTTTACAAAATCAGGGGCATGGCAGGTTTATCTGCAAACTTCATCTCCTGTATATAAACTTACTTTCAGTGACACATCAACAAGGTAAGAATTTCCAGGGTAACTGAGTGATGCAATCTTGGGCAGAAAAAAAAAATCTTAAGATGCACTAAGTTCTACTCCCAAAGCCCCTAGGCTAGGGAGGGAGCGCCAACTCCAGGGACCAGGTGCTGCTTCTTAGCTTACAGAGAGTAAGAGAACAGCTGCCCAACAAGAGAAACCAAAAATCCAATCTATCACAAAATAGCAGGCAAAGGGTTCAGGAAATACCCATTGGCCTCTAATTATAGCAACCCTCTTTCCTACTATCAACAAAACAGGCCAACAGGGAGAAGACAGCCTGATCCACAGCCGCACGACCTGAGATCAGGTGTCATCGTATGGATACTGAGCTCGGAGAAGTCAGAGCAGAAAGGGATTGCAGTCTGAAAGGCAATGAACAAACGGGGAGGAACAGAGAAGCAGGCAGCAACCCCAAAGCCACTGCAAGGGGATGGGAAAGTATCCCACTTCCTCCTGAGACAAGGATTTAGGAAGGAAACGTCTTCAGGTCTCAAGAAATCAACCAGACACAGCAAAGAACCAAACAAACCCGAGACCCTGGGAAAGAAGCTTAGCTCAAGTCGTTCTTAAGGCAAAAGTAAATAGAGAAATAATAATAATAATATTGCTAACTAAATTGCTCACTTCCGGCTTGTTTGGAGTTCCCATAACAGCGGCAGATCGGGGAATCTAGGTATAATTTGTTTAAGAGAAACTTTGGCTGGTCATCCCACTGACAACAAAACTACCAAGCAGTTGGAAGGAATGCAACATTCTTCATTTCTAAGGAAAACACATGAGTCCACGAGAAATGCGCCTTATTTTTTTATCTTGTCATTAAAGTGTCATATTCATCTTACCCTACCACAAAGAAAAAAAGAACTTGGGAATGGGCGGGGGGTGGGGGGGTGATGCCTCCAGGTGCACAATTGTGGAGACCGGAGAGGTCCGGGGGCACTTGGGGGTGTCTACTGTGGCGCCCGAACACCCCGTCCTGACAGCGTGCAGGAGTGGGTGTGGGAAGCAGCGTGTCCCAGCACAAGAAGGTCGCACTTGGTGGAAAATGACTCTGACTATTTTCCCAATCACGCACGGCCGGCGGCCTCAACCCCTGTCAAAAGCACACCCTGCTCGGGATGGCCCGAGTGGCGGCGGCGGGACTCCCCAGCACACAGCGCGCCACTTGGGGGGCTTGGTCCGGGGGGCGACGGGAGCCCGGCACGAACCCCAAGTCGTGGGTGGATGGGTGGGGGAAGAGGCTGCCGACCCGCAGCGATGGCCCCGGCCCGTCCTTCCCCCATACAGCGCCGCGCCCACCTCCGCAGGGGTCAGCGAGGGTGGCGGGGTGCCCGGTGCGGGGGTCGCCGGGTCGCCCCTCGCCCCGAGCGCGGGAAGCCCGGGCCAGCGCGGGGCGGGGTCGTGCCGGACCCCCGCCCGTCACCCCTCTCTCCCCGGGCGGCCGCCCAGCCCGCCAGCACTGCGCGCCCCAGGCCCACCTTTGATTCCGGCCATGGCTGTGACGTCGCTCCTGGCTCCACGACCCAAAGGCAGCGGCGGCCGGGAGACCGGGACGCGCGACGACGGCCAGACAACACCCGGAAGTGCGCGACGCAGCACTTCCGCCGGCGGCTGGTGCCCGCGCGGGGGCGCGGGGAGCACGGGGGGCGCAGGGGGCGCGCGGCGCGGGGGCCGAGGGGTCGAGCCTGGGCTGAGGGGCCCCTGCCGTGGTGGGGCGAGGGTGAGGCCACGTGCGGGCGCCGGCGTCCCGGTCGAGGCCAGCCGGAAGCTCCTTTCTAAAGCATCCATGCCTTCTCCTGCAACCTCCTACGCTGGCTCGGGTTCTTGCGGGGTGCGGGGTGGAAGGGATGCGGCTCTGGGACCCCAGGGTGGGTATACCCCGAATCCACTCCCTTGGGAGTCTGTGAGAGCCTCTTGGTAGTCCCAGGACTTGGCCCAAGGCATGGATTTATCCATCTTACAAATATCTTACCAAACCTGGCTAAGCCACAGAAGTGACCAAAAGCCAGTCGAAGGGAGCTAGCCAGGCTGAGTGAGATATTCACACACAAAAATGTAAAATTACAGGATTGATTATGGGTAAGTAAGGTCAGATCTTGCCACTCTGTAATGAGCCACTTACCACATATCATGAGTGCAGTCATGCACCCAGATTCCAGGAAATAAAGCAGAAACACGCTACGGTTATGCGCTGCTCGGCAGACCACAGATGTGAAGATAGCATCTTGATGGAACTTGAGAGCCTGGTGACCTTCCAGCCTGCTGACTGTTGCAGCGTGTGGTGCTGCTGTGGAAGCAGACCTACTGAGCTGCCAGACTAGAAAAGTGCAGCAGCGCAGGCATAGGTGGTGTGTAAAACTTGATGAGGACTGTAGATGACTGAGCCTCATTTATGTAATACCTGTCTAATTGTGAAACTGCTTATGGCGCTTCACCCCCAGCTATCTTATACATCTCTGGATGGCATCATTTCTCCCGTGCTTGATGTAGTCCTGTGTGGTTTTATTCATGGCTGTAGGTGGGATAGGCTAAATCAATCTTCTTTCTGTATGTTATCTAGCCTAGTAGGACATACCATCTAGGTTTATGGTAAATATATACCTTGCTGTTGGCACACCATAGATAACAAAATGACACAATTGTCAGAATGGGTCCTGTTTGTCAAGATATGCTGCACTGTGTTGGAGTGCAACTACGGAACAGCCGCACAGGCAGAGTCGCTGCTCCCTGCCTTTCTGCCCAAAAGCGTAACAACAATTCCCCTTTCTACAGGTATTAGATTTCTATTCCTAAAAAAAGAGTTATTATTTTCTTTTTACAAATTTTAGTTTTGATTTCTTTAAAGGTTTATTTATTTTTATTGCAAAGTCAGATATACAGAGAGGAAGATCTTCCATCCGATGTTTTACTCCCCAAAGGATCACAACGGCAGTGCTGAGTCGACCTGAAACCCAGGAGCCAGGAGATTCCTCCAGGTCTCCCACAAAGGTGCAGGGTCCCAAGGCTTTGTGCCATCCTTGACTGCTTTTCCATGCCACAAGCAGGAGCTGGATGGGAAGTGGAACAACTGGGATTAGAACCGGCACCCATATAGGATCCCAGTGTATTCAAGATGAGGACTTTAGCTGCTAGTCTGCTGTGCCAGGCCCACAACTTTTAGTTTTGTAATTAATATTTTTCCATTGGTGAATGAAGTAGTACTGTTTGAGTCCACATAAGCATTACTAAAAATAACTATGACCCTTCATTAGTTTTTCCCATATATTTACCTTTGCATCATTTACTCACCCTAGAAGACCAACCCTCTGGGCTCGGCATGGTAGTCTAGTGACTAAAGTCCCCACCTTGCACATGCCAGAATCCCATATGGGTGCTGGTTCTAATCCCAGTGACTCCCCGCTTCCCATCCAGCTCCCTGCCTGTGGCCTGGGAAAGCAGTCAAGGACGGCCCAAAGCCTTGGGACCCTGTGTGCAAAAAGTTCTATCATCTTCCTGAGCCAGGAAAACAGAGTTTCCGCATAGGACGATGGAAGCAAAAAATCAAGGTACAACATATACCCTGGGATTGTGCGATCCTCTGGACAGGATCTGTGGGCTTCCAGCTCTCTTCTCCAGACCACTGAAGCCGATCCATGCATGCCCTCCCTAGCTGTCATGAATGGAGTAGGTAAGATTCCTGGAGAAATGAATGATTGTATCCCAAATGTCACCACAGCATCCTCTCTTATTTCACTCTATGCTATTCCATCTGGGAAAGCAGGTATGTTTCAGCATGGATGATTTTTAAATCAATGCAGGGTTTTTTCAAAATTTAGCTTTTCTATAAACTTGTGTATGGATTCTGATTTTTTTTAAGGTACTAGAATAAACTTATTTATTTCCCTTTACTGTGGGCTTTCAGAAGTGTCCTCATATATTCTTTGGCTTCCATGGTCACCAAATCCTAGGAGATGGCGCACCTTTAGCTCTCCCATGAGATTCACAGTGCGTCTCCCATGAAAATGCTGGAAGGGCTGTTTTCATCTGCAGATGTTACCTAAGGAACAGTGCCTCTAAACCCGAACGACACTGTTTTTAGGCGCTGTGTTTCGAGGACTATCTCTCTAAAACCAAATGCCCAGGTTTTCCTCCCAACTTTTTGAATTAGAAATTCTGTGGATGGAACCCAGACATCTGAAAGTTGAGCAAGCACCCCCAAGTCATGTGTCTGGGAAAGCAGCAGAGGATGCTTGGGCTCCTGCACGCACGAGGGCTACCGGGAAGAAGTTCCTGGCTGCTGGTTTGGGACAAGCCCAGCTCTGCTGTTGGGGCAATTTGGGGTGTGAAGGAGCAGATTGAAGATATCTATCTCTGTCTCTCCCTCTCTTTCTGTAACTCTGCCTTTCAAATAAACAAATCTTAAACAGATAAAATTACTTCGTCAGTAAGGCCCCTCTTGAAGTTATCTCCCAGTCTCAGTTGTATGACATGGTTTTATTTTCACCAATGCACCAGTAGTCTTTTAATGCTTTTAATGTTGATGTCTGTGTTACTTGCCTTATCCTATTTGAACCCAAATTCCACCAGCACAGGGTCTCTGTATTCTGCACGCCTGTAACAATGCCCGGTGCAAACGAAGCATTGAGGACATCCCAGCAGCGTGAAGGCAAGAAAGAAATCCAGGTCTGTCAGACTTTGACACTGCAACAGTTGTGTTGTGTCTGGCTGCTTCTTTGTTCACGCAAAACGAGTGTTTTTTTTTCCTGACATTTTTATACATTCCTTTGGCTCTTACATGTAAGGAAATAATGCGACCAGACAATGCATTTCCATGTTCCCGCGCGCTGTATGTAGCAAACAGGAACAGAACACTAACAACGTGCTGGGCGCTCAAGGATGCACATTTCCTTTGGAAATGCTCCTGAGGTTTTGAAAAGACCTGCCATCTCTGCTGCAGAAGCAGCAGCAGCACCTGCAACCCGAACCTTCCAGACAGCAGACACAACCAGGAGGCGGCCCCGCCCCCGGCCGCGCGTGTCCAGGGGCGGGGCCAGCAGCGGCCACTCAGGGCCCCCCACGAGCCGCAGCGGCAGTGACGCAGGAGTGGCGCACGGACCTCCTCCGCAGGGCTGCGCGTCTGCGGGGCCAACGGCCGCTTTGCGCCGCCGGAACTCCGGCCGTGGCTGCGCAGCGGCGCCCAGTGCTGTCGTTGGGTGCCGGGCAGTAGGCTCGGGCAGCCGCCAGCGCCATCACACCCGGCTTCCCCCGAACGCCATGGCCGCGGCCCGGCGCTGCCCGCTCCTGGGCCTGCTGTTGGTCCTGCAGGTTTCCTGCCCGGTGCTGTCCTGGAACGACCCTGGTAAGTGCAGTCGGAGTCGGGAGGCACCCCGAGGCGCTGGGGGTCCCCCCGGGCGTCCGAGTCTTCTTATCTCTTCCTGAGCCCGAATTCCTCATTCCTGCCCTATCTGCTGTTCATCGGTGGCCTCCTGACTTTGCGGACGCAAGGGGTGGGGCTGCTCTTCTGGACACCCCCTTTTGTGGGGCTCCCGGATTTTGTCTTTTTTGTTGTTGTTGTTGGGGAGTAATGGCTTCACCTCCTCAGGGAGCCCGTTTCTCACCTGCTTGTGTCGGTTTGTTGTCACGGCCGTCTGATGTCATCATGACTGCCTGTTGCTATGGCTGGCAGTTGCCGTGCCGCCAGCACTTTGAGTCACCCTTGGTGGACAGTGCTGCAAAGCTGCTGGACGCGTTAGCCCAGGCACAGCTGGCACCATGTTTGTGAGCAGAACTTTTGCAGTAAAGTACCCTGCGTTTTACCAATGTTTCCCCTTCCTTATTATTCATAGTACACAGTGTACAACTTATTAATCTTGCTACTTTTCTTGCGATGGTGAAGGAGAGGATTTCTAAGGAAGAGGTTCTCTTATAGCAACACGAAGAGACCTCGAATGGAAGTCTGTGATGGGCTTGTCTTGGTGTAAAAATACTTTTGAAAACCTTGTATATATTTTTTAATGTGCATTTTTCTTGAAGTGTTGGAGCCCTTGAAATGCATAGATTTCCAAATTGTCTTACACCAAAATGAACTTGAAATTACATTTTCCACAAACTTTTTGAAGTACTCTTGTATGTTGTGAAAGCATGAAAAAAATGGCTTTATCAATTCACTAGTTGAAACGTCAAGTTCAGTGCAAGGAATAAGGATGATGAGATATGGAAAGCATAGCAGTGTTCCTTTTATGATGGGATGACTAGCAGTGTCTGCATGTTTGAGTGTAAGTGACAGGCTTGCTCCTTCCTGAGCCTGTTGTATTGCCATATGTGGAAATGAGAGAGAAGCTGCTGCTTGCAAACACTCTGAGGAACTGATTTGATGTGGAAGGTTTTTTTAAAGCCCTTCTTAAAAAAAGGGTTACAGAGACAGCAAGGAGGCGGAGATCTGGTTCACCCCTTAAATGGCTGCAGTAATAGGGTTCTGGCTTGGAAATGGAGCATCTGGGACCCGAACCAGTAACCCACATGGGATGCCAACATTGCAGGGCCATGGCTTACTGTGCTGATCCACAGTATGGGTCCCCATGTGGGTGTTTTATT